CAAATCCACACCCACACCCACACCCCACACCCACACCCACACCCACACCCACACCCACACCCACACCCACACCCACACCCACATCCACACCCTAAAAACGTTTAGTTGCAAGATAAAATCGAACTGTTTCACTAAAATGTTCTCTGAAATTGATTAATTTGGAATACATCCTCTTGCGACAATGAAAAGAACAAGGTACTGATCTAAAAGTTGGTGCTAATTAGGACGAAAGTATGGTTTTCTAATCTCGTTTGGTGCACAGATGTCAATGTACGCATTTTTGAATTGTTCCTTCTGCGTAATTTTCCGCAGGAATTATTTAAGTGGCTTTTCATATGTCATCAACGCTGATAGACCTATTATAAATAAATGTACTGATCGTACAATGTGATATCATTTAACCCATCTTACACCGAGGGTCAACATCCTTCATTATTAATGTAAAATACATAAAGAACAGGAACAACAACTGCGATAACAGCAGCAGCAATAGCAACAACGACTAGAACAATATAAATTTAATCGAAATTGAATATCTAGAATGTGTTTCGTCTATAATTTTATTAATAGAACTCGATAATTCACCCACAAACGAACAAGATTTACAATTATGGCTTATACAATCAATAATGAAATTCATATTCAACCGGTAACAATATGTTTGTTTTTTAAGTGATTCTTTAAATAATTTAATGCAAATTGAACATTTATGGCTATCTGTATCACTAACAAATAATGTCTTCTCTACTTATATCATATGAAACAATTAATTTTTTATTGTTGTTCTATTAAATGAGATTCATATGCGTGCATCAGAGAGGATCAAATAGAGAGTATCGCGGATAACTGAGTGTCAACTTTGGACAAAATTTTCCATTCGATGTATTTCAAACAATATTCAACTTTATACATTTCTTATTCATATATGCCTAATTTGTAAAATACATTGAACAAGCACATGGATGTGCGACAAGTTCTATAGATCATATCATTGCACATATTACTGTTCTCAAAACAGATAGCAACAAATGTGGGTGGTAAGGAAATATAGATACATTATATCTATTTCGATGTTGGTATTGGATAAACAGAACTAGTTAAAAAGTGTGCAAATTTAGTTGTTAAGTACTTTAGCTAAAGAAAATCATAAGAAAATAGTTGAATATGTCAACTGTACAGTGAACACAATGGGACGGAACTTGCAAATTTGACAGGACGAGGACATCCTTTTTTGTGAACACAATCAACCTGACTGATCGAAGCGATCAATCAAAATTAATTTTTCTAATCGATTTAACATGATGGATCACGTTCTTTGTTTTCGTTTATTGAGGATGTCCTTTTAATTTTATCTTGACATGTCTCGTGACTACCTATCCATCAATCGATGGATAACGCGTTCAACGAGTTCTGTCAACATAGTTAATATGTAAATCGATCAATTAATCAATTTGTGTGAACAATTCATCACTTTCAAGTACAGTGACTCTCTTTCTATCTATAATTTTTTTCTCTTAATCTCTCTCTTTGAATCTTTTTTCATGTGGGATTATTTTTTCAACCAATTGGCCAACGAGAGTTTCCACATATTAAGTTTTTCTCTTTCGATGTCTTTCGACCACTCTCTTTCTCTCTCTCTCTCTCTTCAACAGTATAAAAAGCCGATGATATCCAGTAAACCGGAATCACTTTTATTATCGTCTCTTCATTGTTCCAAGCAATAATCTTCTTATTATAGTAAGTACTCGAAAGTTTTTATTTTCTAATAACTTCTCCAGTTTATATTTCTGGACTCTATAATTTGGATGCGTATACTCAAAATCAATACATATGCCGTGGTAGTTTATCCTGACAGAATCAACTGATTTTTTTTCATAGAATCTCTTTATTCTATAAAGATTTCTTTGAATTGTCAAGATATATCTTATTAGGTTTCTCCTTTTTGAATCTTAAGTAGATATGCCATCGAATGAGACCCTTGAGCAAGGACGGAACGTGCTGTGATGCTTTGAATTTCAACTATATATTTATTATTACTCTAGATTATGGTAGCTGGTCTCACCACAGCGATTAGTTTTTATCAACATATATATCTATATATGTCAGTTATAAATTGCTCTTGTGATTTTCGTAATCATAAAGATTATTTGCCATCTGATGATCTGCGTAGTTGCAGTGAAATCTAGATTATGGTAGCTGGTCACACCCCACACCCACCCGCACCCAAATGTACATTCTTTCTCTTGTACTCACGCATAAGACATCTTTAAATGTATACAAGCGTGTGTTTCCCAGTGTTCATGCGCTACTTTGTGTCTCTTGAATGACGAAAGGTAATATGGTTACAAAGATATCAGACTCATATGAAATAGAGCTAGCACATAAAGAGCACATATGATAACATAATAGGGAAATGAAGGGATAACCTCATAAAAAAGATAGGGATATAAGGGGAAATGGTTACACAGAGATAGGGATATACGAGCATAACAACAAAATGTGATACGAATTTAATCGCACAACTTATAAGGCTAATTTGAATAGGCTATCCTGAAATAAGTGTAAAAGAAGAAAAGAAAACATACGAAAACATTTCAAAGCCTCGCAAAACATGCGAATATGTCTATAATCAATGCATAACAGAAGTATTACGTCCAAAGAGGGAAGCCCTAAAGATTCTGAAGCGATAAGATATATAAGCACGAAATGATGACACTTACATGATTCAATCCAAAAACAAAAGTATGAACATGGGGATGTGTTCACACAAACCCTGAAACTCTAGGATTTTGTTCTGAAAATTCTTGAATTATGGGCTGCGACGTCGTCTACTTCATCATAACTATCTTTTCCTCTTGAAAATTTAGTTATTTTGAATTAGATGTGATCCTAGTTCGAAAATTTTGGTGGCTGCTTGTTGAGAGTTTTCGACTTCTTCTCTGTTAGCTCCATATGTATAGAACGAAAGAGACAAGCAGTGTCACTGA